ATTAACTCTGGTGCCCATTTCCTAGAGGCTGGATGAACCTCGGGAACCGCCCGGTTTCGAACACCGGCCGTGGGCTGCAGCGATTCACAGCTGGATTTGAAAGCGAATCTCCTATCGACTGCGCTAACGCGGCTCCTCTTCTGTCTATCCACCTTCCATCCATCTGTCTTTCTATGCATCTATGATCTATTTATCCACATACCTATCACACATTTTGACTATCTACTCTTTCCATTCATCCATACGACCGGCTATTCATTTTCCGCCATTCCTTTCATTTGTCTAACCAGAATAAAAATTTATATATATATATATTCATCTATCTGTATGTCTACGGCAGCCTAATTATCAACCTTTCCATCCATTTATGTATCCGCACACACACACACACACACACATTTATCAACCTATCCAATCATCCACCTATCTATACATCCATCTATCTATCTAGACTGGAATCGCCCTCCAGCCCAGATTTAATGCCGTACAAACACCACTGATACCCGGGACACAGGCTGAGGCAAAGAGAAAACGCTAGCCCCTGCCAGGCAATACTTCTATAAAACATATGTTCATACTTATCTCAGATCGTCTACTCGGTCTGTAGAGGTCAGATAAAAATAGCTGACTTTCTCTCCGCGTTGCTCTTCTATCTTAAACTGCAGTGGGGAAAATAAAACTATTCTGGTTTGTTTGAGGTTTGAGGTTCGAACAACGGATCAACATCTTGGCACACGGGTGTAACTAATAAGTGCTCCGTTCTTCTTCTAACACAAGTCTGAGTCCGAAGAAGCTCAACACAGTGCACGGGCTCTGTAGCACCTGTTCCTGAAATACACAGGGTAGATATTTAACTCCAAATTTTGTCTGGGGAGCACCGTTAGACTACTCTTTTCGATTCCAACTGCGAACGGATTTTTTACGTGAGCAAAAATACACACGGGCGTCCGATCTCCCTACCCAGAGACCAGGAAAAATTACTAAAATTACAACAACAAAAAGACAGATTGTAAATACAATATTTATACCGACTTTGGGTTACCAATGTTAGACTTGGACACTGACAAACGAACACGAAAGAAAACTAACCACTTGTGAGATGAGATGTTTGAGAATGGCTGTGAATAAAAACAGAAGAGATCGAGTGAGAAACGACGTAATCACAAAAACTGTTGAAACAACACCCATCGCCAAGTTTATTAAGAAACAAACAACGAAATGGTTTGGCCATTTAATGAAAATGTAACGAATGATGCCAGCAGCAAGAGCGTACAACCTGAAAATGAAAACATCAATAGGCAGGGGAAGACCGAGAATAACACTGGCTGAAGGAGTCACTGACACCATGAGACAACATCACGGCATATCAAGTGACTGAGCGCGCCCTGGCTCGGCTGCTGATCGTCTGATGAACTGCGACGCTTAGCGGCACAAGCAGATAAATTGACAAAAAAAAAAAAAAACAGAAGCATAAGGAAATAAATACCAGCAAGTTACAGTTAAAGTCGAGAGTTTCCACTCCATTGCATCAAGTTTTACCCTGTCGACGAGGGACTGGCAAACGTAATTGTACATAATGAAGCTCTTTTAAAGGCAGGTGAATATGTAGTCTGACTGACATATGTGGGAAGCAGATAAGCTGGTGTTTCAGCTAGGCGCGTAGGTTGATACAATATGCATATATATAATAAGTAAACTGGTTATTAACTAGGTATTTAGGCGGGTTGACTGATGAATGCATTATTAGCGAAGTTGACAGCTGTGTAAGTTGGTAAACTGACTGGTGGATAGCTGTCTAAGCAGGCAAGTTGACAGACAGTTGTGCAATTAGCGAATTGATTGGTAGTTAGCTGTTTCAGTAGGTAAGTTGGCTAATTGACAGATAAGTAAATAGGCAAATTAATTGATCGACAGCTGAGTAAACAGGCATACTGACTGGCGACAGTTGTGTAAGTAGGCAAGTTGACTGGTCGATAGCTAGGTAAATAGATAAGTTGGCTAACTAACAGTAAAGTAAGTGGGCAAACTCACTGATCGATTTTTGAGTGAGTGGGTAAGTCGACGGACCGACAGCTTTGTAAATAGGCAAATTTACTGGCAAACAGCTGTGTAAGTAGGCAACCTAACTTGCTGATAGCTGAATAAATGGGCAAGCTGACTGGCTGATAGCTGAATGAGTAGGCGGGTTGGGTGGTTAACAGCTGGGTAAGTAGGTAAACTTGTTAGCTAGGTATTTATATACGCTAATTGGTTTACAGCTAGGCAAGTAGTCAGATTAGCTGGCAGTTAAATAGATAGGTAGTCTGACATCTATTTAAGCAGACAAGCTGGTTGAAACCAGGGAGACAAGCTGATTAAAAGCCAAGCAGACAAGCTGGATGAAAGCCCGGCAGACAAGCTGGTTGAAAGCCCGGCAGACAAGCTGGTTGAAAGCCCGGCAGACAAGCTGGTTGAAAGCCCGGCAGACAAGCTGGTTGAAAGCCCGGCAGACAAGCTGGTTGAAAGCCCGGCAGACAAGCTGGTTGAAAGCCCGGCAGACAAGCTGGTTGAAAGCCCGGCAGACAAGCTGGTTGAAAGCCAAGCAGACAAGCTGGTTGATAGCCAGGTAGGCAAGCTGGTTGAAAGCCAGGCAGGCAAGCTGGTTGATAGCCAGGTAGGCAAGCTGGTTGAAATCCAGGTAGGCAAGCTGGTTGAAAGCCAGGCACACAAGCTGGTTGATAGCCAGGTAGGCAGGTAATGTGTTGTTTGGGTGTCAGGTAAATAAGGAATCCTATCTCTATGCTCCTCTATATTTATAAAGATAAGACGACAGAGCGGCTGAAAGCTAGGTACAGAGGTAGGTTGACTGACAGCTGCTTAAGTAGGCAGGTTAACTGACAGGTTTGGCTGACAGCCAGGTAGGTAGGCAGTATGGTAAATAGCTATATACCTAGGTAGATTAATAGGCAGCTAGGTGAGTAGGCAGACTGGAAATATATAAGTAGGCAGAGGCTGACATTTATTCAAGTTGCCAGGATGGCTAACAGTTATTTAAATAGTCAGGGTGAAGGTAAAGGACCTTTTTCCACTCCTTCAGGTATTCTGGGCATATAGGGCTAGACCTATATTTTATAGACCAATTGCCACTCAGTGGGTGATGTGGTCAACATCGAACTGGCAGCCTTTACCATTTTTAAAATTTATTTAAATTGGCAGAGTGGTGAACAATTATTTAAGTGTCAGGGTGGCTGAAATTATTTGGTAAAAGTAGTTGACATTTAGGTAAGTGTGCAGAGTGACTGACATTTATTGAAGTGTAACATAGCTAACAACCTGTCAATAATGTCACATAAATCACAAACTCCATAGCTCCAGTGACGATCACCAGAGATCTCCATAAAAATTACACTTGTGAACCAAATGACGCAGCACATGAGACAAACCCTGACATTCAGAGTGCGAGGCAAACAGCTTAACCATTTCGCCGCATAAACCTTCCATATCAAAACACACTGACAGGCATTTGCACTTAGGAGCAGACTTATGGGTGTCCTTGAGTTATCCTGTGTTTGTGGAAACTAACGGTGCACCAGCCAGCTGTAGCAACAGCAGCTCCCACTGTTGAAGCAGGCAGCTCTCACCTGAACAGGTGTCAGTAATTATGCTATAAGACTTGTATGTTTATATCTGGAGGTGGCAAGCTCTATCGTGTGATGAAAGCTTACTGGAAGGATCATAGAAAAAATAAACAGTAAGAGATGTGTAGAGAAATACAGGTTGAGAAAAATAAAGGTAATGGCCTGATAGATCACGCTACTGGTATGTGATGTATTGTGTCTTCAGCTATTCTAGGTAATGGATTTAAAAAGTGGGGGGTTTAGCAATCTTCTACTTCACCTTATCTTTAAAATTCCCAGACCATTCTTTAAATTGTCTGCTTCACATTTTAAGAAGCTGGGTCGACCTTACACTGATAAGGAAAGAGATTTTACATGCACTTCCTGGAGACTGAATGTAAGGCCCCTCCTGTGTGCCTAAAAACAATAAACACACTGCCCCATACAAGCATGTCGCAAGAGATGATTAATTAGGGGTGTTTCCTTTGAAGTCAGAGTGCATCTACCTGATAGGTGAGAAACCACAGTCTGCATACAAATACGCCAGGATTTTAAAATGGATGTGCATGCAAAAGTCAAGTTCTGGAACAAGACTTAGGTCCAGGAGTGGACGAACAAGCAGAACTATTTGCCAAAGTTTACAGCTGAAGAAGTATGCGAGATTACTGTGTTGATAAGTAAATGTAGTATATGTCTCAGCGGCTCCAGTTTTTCTGCTAGAAAACTTCATTATGAAGATTTTCTGTTTTAAACTCCTTTTGTCCTATCGTGCAACACTTAGTGTTTTATGACATCATTTACATTTGGTCTCAGCATATGAAAGAAATATTTTTGGGTACATGTGATAATATGTGAGAAAAGAATGCAGTAGTTACAGAACAACTAATTACACGGGTATCCTGGCATTGCTTTTTGTCTACAAACTGCTAAGTGTTGTGAATTTCTGTGGCTTGGAGGCTAGTGAATGTGTTTCATAATCTTCGACATTTCAAGTATTGACTTCCAATACGGACAGTTTACGGTGAAAGAGTTAAAAACACAGACCACCCAACCCAAACAGATGCTTCACACACCCTAACAGCTCCACAAATAAAACCTTAACCACCACTGATGTAGCATGTTTCCATTCTTCTTCTTTTGTTTTTTTACTTCATTCTTGCCCTTAACGAGGCGGGTGGCACACTGCATTGCTGTTTACAGCTAGGCTGTAACATCCGCAACTTTAGGACGAAGCATCCAATTTCAGCAAAACCCTAAACAGTTGCTTGTTACAACATGCTTGTTGGAGGGAGGAGGGAGGTGGCAGGAGGAGGGAGGAGGGAGGAGCGTCTGTTCATCTTTTCTTTCCCCAAAACCCACACAGTGATGTTTCCATTCTCAAAGTCAGCCACACGTTGTACTTACCCTATGACGACAATGGTAAAATCTAATGCATTCCATCCATTCCGTAAATACGCTCCTTGATGCATCACAAAGCCGTAGGCAATGATTTTGAGTATACCCTCCAAAAGGAACACCACTAAAAACACATACTCAATCCTATCCTGAAATAAGAGATTAAAAGACTTCTGTGAAAGTATTTCACTGCATTTAAATGTTAACACTAGTTAATGAACACTCCAATACTACCCTTATGTATCTTATTTTGTTTTTTCAAGCGCTTTTTCAAAAATTATTTACATCATTCACCCACCAGCCCAAAGGTCTTGGCTTCGATTCCACATAGTCTAATGTTTTTGAAAATTACCTTGGCTCCTAGACTAACCCATCCTATAATAAATCCCAGGTAAAGTCATGTCATGTAAAGGCGACAAGCAAGATGTTGACCATATTACCCATCGAATCGTGATTGCTCTATAAAAAGAAACTGAAGTCTCCCATCACATGCTGATGTGCCACTGGTATAGAAAGGGTCCTTACCTTTTTTTTAAAAACTTTGTGACACCCCAATATCTCCTTTTCATGACATTTGACACCTACAGTTTACAACAGATATGGTCTAGTCTGACAAACTATAATAATTATAAAATACTTACCAATGCAGCATTGATGTAGTTGGAATCCGAGTGTGGGTAAGGTGTATATATAGCAAGTGCCACACAATTGGCAAAAATTGTGATCAGCACTAGTATTTCAAATGCTGTTCAACAAGTTAAGGAAAGTTATTGTTTAAATGATTCTCAAATATGGACTATTATCAAACTAATTATAAATAATTAAAAACGAGGAGCCCAGAAATAACACTGGGGTAATGGCAATAAGAAAACAACAGATGAAACAGTTCGATCATCTAACTCAGTTGCAACAAAATCCCAAAAAAAGACAGTATTGCACTGCAATCAGCAATTATGTTTAGACTAAGAGGAAATCAGAAGCAAATGACCATGTAAAAGATGGACACGGAAGATAACAGAGTATCTGGGAATGCCCATATATGAAGCAGTGAGGAGTGAACAGGAGACCTGGCTGTCACTCGATGCTCGGAGGAAAGGCAAGATGGGCATAGAATCAGATTGCTACTGGCACCACTGGTACTGGAACTCTGCGCTGGCTACTGAAGATGGGGATGAAGTGCTTATGAGAATGCCCTGAGTGCTGTGACATTGGTTCCTGAATCAACTCAACTCATGAAACATACAAATGAGCAGCCCTTCTGCTGTTTGCACTTCACCTTGATACAGCAAGATATAGGGTGGGGGGGGGGGGGGGGGGGGGTTAGAGGAGATGAGCCAGAAGTCTTATACTTTTGAGACACTCATTTGTGGGGATATAAATGCTACATATATGTGTTTATAGGGCCACTTATGAATGTTAACTTTGTGAGATAAGCAAGTCAGTGATCTAGAGGCCTTTATCTTCTTCTTCTTCTTGTTCATTTTCTGCATTCACCAGCTATAAACTCTGGTAAACAGTCCTTTCGATTAGCTTGTGTATGGATGTGAGTGTTATTTGCACTCAGTTTTCCAGAACTTACTGTGTTAACCCTCTCGCTCCAAAAACAATTTTAAAAAAAAAAAAGAAAAAAAAAATGGGTCACAAGAAAAATCGTTTTTAAAAAAGATAACATTTTAAATAAACTTTTAACTTGAATAGCTTTTGTAAAGCCAAGCTGATTTTCCCCTAAGCCTAAGTGATAGAGGTTACGGGGTCACCTGATAAGTTTTTTTTTTTTTTTTTCAGGTCCTGGGGAATGTATTCCATTTAATGCTTCACCCTGTTTGAGTTTACTGGTTACTTCCTTTATATATCAAACTGGAAACTATTTCAGGAAACATCTGACTGCCTCCTGGGAAGAATTGACAACAGCTGTGTGGAAACTTTTTGTGAAGACATAACACAAGCAATCCTGAATGCAGCGTCGAAAGCCATCCCAAGGGGCAGCCGGAAGGCATATAAACCTTTTTGGAATCAAGAGATTCAAAATACTATATCTGAAAGGAATAAAGCAAGAATATTTCTCGAAACTGCACGTTCAACAGAAGCAAAGATCCAATACAATAAAGCATGTGCCAGAGTAAAGCTTGTAGTTAATAAGGCTAAAAGAGATAAATGGACAGAAACTTGCTCCAACTTAGACCTTAGACAGAATGGAAATAAAGCATGGACTTTAGTTAAAAACCTCTCCGGAGAAAGTAGAAGGGTGAACCCAAAACCAGTGACAGATGGGAGTAAGACAATCACTGAAGACAAGAAGAAAGCAGAACATTTCAATCATTATTTTGCCTCAGTTAACAGAGCAGGTAAGCTGTCAGAACTCAATAGAACACAGCTCTCTCAGTTGAAGAAACAAGAGAGAGCTCCAACAGCCAGCGACTCCCTTTTTGAAAATGAATTTAGCATGGATGAACTAGAGCAAGCCCTGAAGAAATTAAAACCTAGAAAATCTCCAGGCCCAGATAAGATCCACAACGAAATGCTGCTACATCTTGGCCGGTCTGGGAGAGAAGTAGTTCTCAGGCTTATTAATAAAACTTGGAGGTCAAGCAAACTTCCAAGGGCATGGAGGAATGCATATATCGTCCCCATCCTTAAAACCAAAAAGCCTCCAGATGACCCCAAAAGCTACCGCCCGATATCCTTAACATCATGCTTGGGCAAAGTTGCAGAAAGAATGATAAACAGGCGCTTATATTGGTTCCTTGAGAGTTCTGGTGTTCTATGCCATGAACAGGCAGGCTTCAGAACCAACAGCTGCACAGAAGACCAGCTGTTCAGACTGACACAAAGAATACATGATGGCTTCCAGAATAAGAAACACACAGTGGCAGTCTTTGTCGATCTCCAGCAGGCCTATGACAGAGTATGGAGAAAAGGTCTCCTGATGAAGATGATGAGCATAGGAATACATGGCAGATTGTATAACTGGGTGAAATACTTCCTGATAGATAGAACAATCCAGACTAAGATGCACAACGCAATCTCTTCTAAAGAAGTCTTGGAGGAGGGCTTGCCACAAGGCTCATCATTGAGCTGTACACTATTCCTAATCTTTATCAATGACCTGCCAGAACAAATCAAGGCCGAAAAAGCCTTGTACGCTGATGACCTAGCAATATGGCAGAGTCATGAAAATGTGGAAAGTGGAGCCCAAAGACTGAATGGAGACCTTAGAAGACTGCATGATTACTGCCAAAGATGGAAACTCAAGATTAACTGTGCAAAGACGGTCTACACAATCTTTACCAAAAGCCACCAAGTAGCAAGGAAGAATATTAACCTGAGGTTAGACAAACACCAAGTGATGAAAGAAGAGCATCCCACATACCTTGGAGTCACACTTGACCCGCAGCTCAGCCTCAAGAACCATATTGAAAACATCAGGAATAAGGCATTGAGGCGGTTACAGTTATTAAAGAGACTTGCAGGTACATCATGGGGATCAGACAAGGAAACTCTGAGGGGCTTATACCTAGGATATGTTCGCTCTGTGATAGAGTACAACAACTCACTGCTTACAACTTGTTCCAAAACTAACCTAGAGACTCTTGACAGAGTACTAAATAATGCCCTCCGATTAATCTGCGGAGCTATGCAGTCTACACCAACTGCTGCATGTGAAATCCATACAAATGTGGAACCCCTCGGGTTGCGGAGAGAAAAAGCCACTTTAGAAATTTATGAAAGATGCGTTAGGAAAAATCGTAACCATCCTAATAGACATCTTGTAGAAAACTGGGAACCCAAACAAAGAATAAAGCACAAATCGGTTTTACACTGTGTTAATGAAATTCAGGACAGATACCACCTCCCAGAAAGACGTCAAGGAATTCAGAATGTTGCAAAAAACCTACCACCACATGCTCGCTTTAAAGCTCCAGAAGTCCAAACTAAATTGGTAGGCGAGGAAACCAAACAGTCCGACCCAATCGCTCTTATGAACTCATCACTAAAGACCGTTGATTCTTACCCCCAAGAATGGATACATGTCTATACTGATGGATCAGCATTTAAAGCTACCATTAAAGCAGGTTACGGAATCTACATAGGTTATCCCGATGGATCTGTTGAAGAGATTTTTGATGCATGCGGGGAATTCTGTTCAAACTATGAAGCTGAAATAATTGCACTGGAAACAGCAGTATACCACCTAAAGACTGTAATGGATGTTTACCCCTCAAAGGTCCAAAATATTGTCATCTTCACAGATTCAATGTCTGCCCTTCAAGCTCTGGAGGGCAATGAACGCTGCAGAACTGACATAGCCAAGATAATCCTGGATGCCGATCAGCTTATTACCTCATACAACATCAGAATAGTGATGCAGTGGATTCCAGGTCACTCCGGCACACCAGGTAATGACAGAGCTGACAGATTGGCAAAGAAAGGAGCAACACAAGAACAACCACCTACAGCGACAACCCTCCAGACAGCAAAAACACTGATAAGAGCTATAAACAAAGAGACTTGGTTGAACAGATGGGCCATGGGAGACACTGGAAGAGAGGTTTATAGACATATGTCTGGCCCTGATCCTAATGACAGCATTAACCATCTAACAAGAAGGGACCAGGCCACCATCTTCAGACTTAGAACGCAACATACTCCACTCAATGGACACCTAAACAGAATACAGCCACAACACTCCCCAGAGTGCCAGCTATGTAACTACCCCTACGAAACTGTTGAACACCATCTCTTTGAGTGCCCAAAACTCAGTGAGACAAGAAGAACGCTACTCCCTCCGAGACCAGACAAGTGGAACACCTTGTACGGAGGAAAAGAACAGCTTGTGAAAACATGCAAATTCCACTACATGGCATTGGGCCAAAGGGCGAAAGCTCATGCGCCGCTGGATCGATAACAACAACAACAACAACAATATATCTTTATATGCTGGGTATCAGAGTCCCTGGACATGTGGGTATACAGAAGAGTAGGTCATACTTCATGGAAGCAAAAACAGTCCAATATAGAAGTTCTAGAAAAGGTCGAAAACAAGAGAGCAAGAGGTGGGCAAGGATACAAGATGGAAGATAACATCAAGAGATGGACATGCAGAAGTCTGAGGGAGTGTACAACCAGGACAAAGAGACAGAGCGTGTTGGAGATCCATTGCAGTCAACCTTCACTGTGAAGATGGCACCTGATTTGACTATTTGATATATTTTAGGAAAAAAAATTTTAAAATATAGATAAAATAGTTGTAAACAAATTTATTAGTGACCTATGTTAATAATTATTTTTTTTTAAATTTAAACTGTGAGCGAGCACTGTCATGTTGAAGAACTGCATGGTTTGCCAGGAAAAACATGCAGAAATCTTGCTTGTTGTTTCTACACCATTTCTACATATCAATCAGAGTTGACAGTATTGCAGAAGTTTAAAATTAGGCCTGGCAAACAAGCAGTTCTTCAACATGACAATGCTGGACCACACACGAGCCGACCAACAAGGGCAGCATTGGAGTGTCTCAAATTTGACAGCATTTCAGCCCACCCTGCTTACACTCCTGATTTGGCACCCCCTGTGACTTTGTCCCCGTTCCCAAAGTTCAAGGAACATCTAAAGGTGACAGATTTGCTTCTGACGAGGATTTGGCAGCTGATGTTCCTGGTTTCGTGACAAATCATCCCATTTTGTCTCAATGGATTTTGAAAACCTGTTCCACGCTGGCGTGTTTGAGTGGAACATGGTTTTGACTAATTGAAAAATAACCCCAACTTACATCCCAAGCTTTAGGAAAATATATATTTTGTGTGTATATTTTGTATACTAACAAAGTTATGTTATTGAAGGCAGTACTTTTCAAACCACCCTTAGTAATATATGGCTACAAATCCTGGACAATAAGTACACAAGCCAAACAATGTCTTGATACCTCAGATGTGGTTTTAAAGACAATTTGTTTTAAATTCCTTGTACACCAAAATAAGTAATCCAGGTGATGTGAAAGAGGCAACAGCTCAAAGTCAACTTATCACAAACATCAGAAAGAAACAGTTTTGAGGCCATGTTATAAGAAGAAGGAAACTGGAACATGTAACAGCTGGCAAGATTTGGGGAAAGACAAGAAGATAATGCGAGAAGATTCTTGACAACCTTTTGTGTTGGCATGGAGGGGTGTCTACATACAAAGTGAAACATGCTGTTGGAGATCGCAGGTTGTGGAGAGACATAATCGCTTGCGTCTACCTCACTTTCCCATGGTGGACTCTGTTCTACCCCGTAATCCAGAGGAAGGTTGGGGTTTTACCACTAGCGGGAAAATTGGTTGGGACAACAGAAGAGATAAAAGATTAAATCTGGTTTCATCAGCTGCTACTGAGTTGAGTGCATGGCATAACAGTGTGTGCTGTGAAGTGTTCATGTGGAAGTTTTTTCATCTGTGCCCCTAGTTATTTCTTTTGTGGTGGTCATAATCAGAAAATGGCAGTTAGTTGTTGGTTGTCACAGAACTTGCAGTATGCCTTGTGCAGTAATGCATTTACACAATGCTGGTTTATTAAGACTGCACCTTTTCCTCTTCTTCTCTAGTCATGAACTACCTTTCAGCATCAGGTTCTAAAGAGGCATCAGGTGAGAGCCTTGATATGTGCTACGTAGATGCTGGTTTATACAGCCTCGGATACTCCATCTGCCAATCACTTGCATGGTCAACCTCTGGCTCTGCTTCCATTATGTCTAAGTGACAGGGCTCTCTGTGGTGTACTTATCTGGGGGATGTCTTGACACATGTCCAAACCACTGGATCTGTTTTCTTTTGATGCAGTTTAATAGTGGTTCCGTTCCAATTTCTTTCCTGACACTGTCATTTCTTATCCTGTCTCTTCCAGTTACATTTAGGATTTGCCGTCCCCTGTGTGGGTTCCAGGGCCCAGTTGTGGGGAAAACAAGAATAGACACACTGCCTACACAAAAGCATTACGTAAGAGTCAACTAATTTGGAGCCTTCTTTGAAGTTGGAGTGCATGTGCCTGAGAGGCAGAAATAACAAGGTGCCAAATTTACATCAGAGAAACATTGCTTTGCCAATGAAAATGAAGAAAGTAATGAAAGATACTAACGATGATGATAATGTTCATGATCATAATGATGATATTAATGATGAAAATGACAAGGGCAATCATGATGAGGATGATAAGATTATAAAAACAATGATGGTAATGAAAACTATTCAATGAAAACTTTTTAACCGGATTGAAATTTATTAACACTGAGCATCCATAGCTACAAGAAAGGACCAAAGAAATTCAAAAAAGGATATTTATATTCCACAACCTGTATACAGAATTTGCGGAGGGGGTTTTTCAGCGTCAAACAGAACAACGCCCGTACAGGCCGGATGTTCTGATTGGCCTGCTTGCGGACGTTGGGGCGCTTCCTGACGGTCCCAGTCCCATGGGCCGCCGCTAATGCTGTGCTCCACCCCGTGCTGAAGGCTTTCCCAGACTCTGTTGTGGTAATATTTAGACCACCTGCTCCAGGTGGCACCCCTGCAGTGTTCTGAGGGTCTACCGGTCGAGGTCCTCCTCCAGCTCCCCCTGGGTCCTCTCCTCCTGGCCCTCCTCTGTGTTGTTGAGGAGGTGACTTGACAGCACCACCTGGATTATTTCCAGTTCCTCCTCCTGGCTTATTACTGTGACCAGAAGTCTGGTCATTGCGAACCCCTGGAAAAAAAAAAACAAAGAAAAATCATAATGTAAGGAACACATTTTTATTATCACATTATCATAAACCATTTCTGCCATTAAGCGCTGTGGGGAGAAAAAATGTGCGATCCAGTGCATGCTGGCTGCCACTGGCTATTGTCATGCCATGAAGGCGTAGAGTGTCTTTAATGTTGTTGATCCATATTTTCCAAGGCTCTTGTAGCTGATCTTCTGAGATGTAGTGCTTGTGATGGTATTTCATTTTGCTGCATTCTAATAAGACTGCCAAACCACTTGATCTGCTGTTTCTCAATGAATCTAGTACAAGTTGTCGTTCCCACAATTTGTCTGATAGTATCATAATTCCCAGTTTATTATCACAATTATTTGAAAACAACATTTAAAATATACTACATGCAATTCTTATAATCTGGGGAGTCAGATGGTGGTACAGTGCTTAGATAACTGCCTTCCAACCCAAAGAAATTAGATTCAAAACTATAAATGATTGCTTTTCAACCCAAAGAAATTAGATTCTAATCTATAAATGCTTGCCTTTCAACCCAAATAAATTAGATTTAAATCAATAGATGCTTCCTTTCCAACCCAAAGAAATTAGATTCACATCTATAGATGCTTGACTTCCAACCCAAAGAAATTAGATTTAAATCTATAGACATTTACCTTCCAGTCCATGGAAATTAGATTCAAATCTATAGAAACTTCCCTTCCAACCCAAGGAAATTAGATTCAAATCTGCACCGTCCCATGTGTGGGTTCCAGGAGGGCCCCATTTAAGGGGGAAAAAGAATAAACCCACTGCTTGGCTGGGTGAATGGTTAAGAATGCAAGACTTTCAAGTGGAAACCCCAGATTCATATCCTCAGTAAGGCTGGGCATATTTTCTTTCGGAGGTACAAATAAAAACCTAACCTGCACAGTCCATGGCAACAACACTAGCCACGTGGACCTAAATCCTCAGGTTCAAATATCCCCTGCCTACACAGCAAAAGTAGTAAAATCAGGCTGTAACGGCCATTTTTTAACAGTTCCTGGCTACCCCAACAAGCATGCCATGGAAGGCGACTAATTAAGGGTGTCTCCTTGTAAGCTGGAGTGCATGATGTACCTGAGAGCGAGAAACCAACAGTTTGCATAAAACTAAGCCAGATCTGTTAAACGGATGTGCAAGTAAAACTCGATTCTGAAACAAGATCAAAGTCCAGAAATGGACAAACAACCAGAACTTTCCACCAAAGTTTACAGCTGGTGAACGCGAAAAGGAAGAAGAAAATCAAGAAGAAATCTGCACCGTTTTTTTTTAAATAATGATCTTGGCTCCCAGGTTGATGCAGCCAGTACCAGGACATGTCCTCTGAAGTAACGATGGTTGACATGATGTTAACTATATCATCCATCAACTGCTAATAATAAGGCTATATCACCATATGCCCCACATGACACAGAGAGAGACAGAGAAAAGAGGAAGACAGACAGAGAAGACAAGGAAATGCAGCATCCTAGCATGGATAGATAGCATATGGGTAGTAGATTGGCATCTTTGCCTAAAACAGGGTTCTTTATGTTTATTCATGGGCCAAGAGAGAGAGAGAGAGAGAGAGAGAGAGAGAGAGAGAGAGAGAGAGAGAGAGAGAGAGAGAGAGAGAGAGAGAGAGAGAAGAGGAAGACAGACAGAGAAGACAAGGAAATGCAGCATCCTAGCATGGACGGATAGCATATGGGTAGTAGATTGGCATCTTTGCCTAAAACAGGGTTATTTACGTTTATTCATGGGCCAAGAGAGAGAGAGAGAGAGAGAGACAGAGAGAGAGACAGAGAGAGAGAGAGAGAGAGAGAGAGAGAGAGAGAGAGAGAGAGAGAGAGAGAGAGAGAGAGAAGAGGAAGACAGACAGAGAAGACAAGGAAATGCAGCATCCTAGCATGGACGGATAGCATATGGGTAGTAGATTGGCATCTTTGCCTAAAACAGGGTTATTTACGTTTATTCATGGGCCAAGAGAGAGAGAGAGAGAGAGACAGAGAGAGAGACAGAGAGAGAGAGACAGAGAGAGAGAGAGAGAGACAGAGAGAGAGACACACAGAGAGAGAGACAGAGAGACAGAGAGAGAGACACAGAGAGACAGAGAGAGAGACACACAGAGAGAGACACAGAGAGAGAGACAGAGAGAGAGAGAGACAGAGAGAGAGAAGACAAGGAAATGCAGCATCCTAGCATGGATAGATAGCATATGGGTAGTAGATTGGCATCTTTGCCTAAAACAGGGTTATTTAACTACGTTTATTCATGGGCCAAGAGACAGAGAGAGACACAGAGAGAGAGAAAGACAGAGAAAGAGAAAAGGAAATGCAGCATCCTAGCATGGATAGATAGCATATGGGTAGTAGATTGGCATCTTTGCCTAAAACAGGGTTATTTAACTATGTTTATTCATGGGCCAAGAGACAGAGGGAGAGAGAGAGTGAGAGAGAGAGAGAGAGACAGAGAGAGAGAGACAAAGAGACAGAGAGAGAGAGAGACAGACAGAGAGACAGACAGAGAGACAGAGAGAGAGAGACAGAGAGAGAGACAGAGAGAGAGAGAGAAGACAAGGAAATGCAGCATCCTAGCATGGATAGATAGCATATGGGTAGTAGATTGGCATCTTTGCCTAAAACAGGGTTATTTAACTACGTTTATTCATGGGCCAAGAGACAGAGAGAGACACAGAGAGAGAGAAAGACAGAGAAAGAGAAAAGGAAATGCAGCATCCTAGCATGGATAGATAGCATATGGGTAGTAGATTGGCATCTTTGCCTAAAACAGGGTTATTTAACTATGTTTATTCATGGGCCAAGAGACAGAGGGAGAGAGAGAGTGAGAGAGAGAGAGAGAGAGACAGAGAGAGAGAGAGACAAAGAGACAGAGAGAGAGAGACAGACAGAGAGACAGACAGAGAGACAGAGAGAGAGAGACAGAGAGAGAGACAGAGAGAGAGAGAGAAGACAAGGAAATGCAGCATCCTAGCATGGATAGATAGCATATGGGTAGTAGATTGGCATCTTTGCCTAAAACAGGGTTATTTAACTACGTTTATTCATGGGCCAAAATCTTGAATGGTAAACGTCATAACCAGAAGGAAGCCCCAGCCCCAGCACAGAATGATCATTAATACAACTGGCAATGATCCGCGGGCCACTTGTTAGGCTTCCACGAGCTGGATCTGGCCAGCAGCTGCCAGTTCAATACCTCTGGCCTAAACCAACTGGCCGTGGGCATGTCCTGTAGCATGTCCTGTGAAGGAAAGATGGTTGGCAGGATGCTGACTACATAACCCATTAACTGCGGACTGGTCTATAACAACATGGCTCTTTCATGATATGCCTCACATGCCAATGGATTGCAAAGGTCTTTTACTTCACTTACTTACTAACTCTTAATTATCTAAAATCTTATAGTCTGTTATAATCAGTGCACAATCTATTGAATATTAAATAGCCGCAGGTATCATACAAACATAAACATCAATGATCACCCTCATCATCATCCTGTCATACCATTAACATCAATGATCACCCTCATCATCATCCTGTCATACCATTAGACCCCCCAAAGGGCTCACAGTCTAGTCCTCCAGTGTAAACTGTACTGTGCAATCCTTTCAACATCATGGATGGACAGGTGACTATGCATCCAGTTTTCACCGAGATAGTCCGGTTTTTTTTTTGGTGTACCTCAGTTGTCCCGTCAGTATTCCAAAAACATGCCAATTGTCCTGTTTTTTTTTTTACAAGTCTAGAAATCAGCTTGAGAACAGAAAATATACTTATTGTTATTTCTCTAGATCTTATTAGATTTCATAGTATTAGATACTCAAAATGTGTTAATGGGAATTTACAGTAGAGCGTGTATTTTTAGTACATTTAAAAAGCATACTGTTTCATTTATTTTTTGGCGACAATGGTTTGGGTTTTAACAGTAGTGTTGTTAGTTGGGTATCTTTTTACAGGACGTTGCATAACCAACTGTAGCATTTTTTTTGTTACTGTTTTCTAGGCAAATTTAAGTCCAATAGTTTGCCATTGCTTTCTGGACCATCGGCTCTCGGGAAACCAACGCAAGACAAATGCATACGCCACAGACGCCAACTGTTGTTGAGCGATTAATTAACCCTTTCACCACTGTGGTCAAAAGAAAAAGAGAGAGACATGAATGCACACACACAGTGACAGAGAGAAAGGTTAACAGACTTGCTCTATATGTCACACTTTCAGATCAAAATATTATTGGGATGTCCTGTTTTCAGCTCAAGATATTAGGACCATCCTAATATTATATTCCAATTAAAATCCAGTCTGGCTGTACTGGGTATCTTTGATTAAATGACTACTGCAACAATGTGAGTAAATATTAGAAAAATATAATTAGAATGTATCTGCATTTGAACCCATGGGGTAAAGAAATTCCGGGAGATTCCAAAACAAAAACAAAAAGCAAAAGGAAAACAAGAATTAGAGGGAGGTGAATATGAAAATTAAGAAAGGCGAAGAAATAAGAGAAAGGTTTCGACAACTGTTTTTGGAGTCGCTGTGGCGGAGCAGCTAGACACTTGCCTGCGGATCGGACGGTTTGCTTCTTGGCGGAGCTAGACTTTTTTCAAAAATGACCTTGGCTCCCAGGTCGACCCAGCCCTGAGTGGGTACCAGATGCAGTCCCGGGAAAGTAAAGGCTAACCTCATCAGCCATCTTGTGCCGATTGGTCTTCAAAATATAGGTCTAGCCCTATATGAGGCATGGAAAAGGGTCTTTACTTTACTTTTACTTCTGCTTTTCGTCTCCCAGTGGATGAAACAGTAAGTTAGATAATCAGTCATACTTTCAAGTAAAAAGCTATTCAGTCAGGTAACAAGCCAGTTCTACTTCTATGCGGTGGTGTAGTGGCTTGATGCTGGCCCAAAAGTTAAAGGTTTGAATCTGCACTGAGTCAGATTTCTTTTTTTTCAAAAATGACCTCGGTCCTCAGGTTTACCCAGGCCAAAACAGGTACCAGGTGAAGTCCTTAGAAGTAAAGGGGCCAACATGATGACGATCACATGCCCGTTGTGAACTAGCATTGAAAGGGTCCTTCACTTAGATAGTTAGTTTAGTTCACTTTTTCCTTCTAAACTCTTTCTACTACCCTTCATCTCCCAATGGACAAGACAGTAAGTCAGGCAACCAGCTAGTCAAGGTACAAGCCAGTTTGTCAAGTAATTTGCAGTTGTGTGAGCCCTTTGTGACATATAAAGGCATGATAGGATGATGATGATGATGCACGGGCGACTGGGTGATCCACTGGCTCACTGGTAGCCGAGGTCGTCACCATTATTTGGGTCTGTCTCCTTTGTTTGCATCAACACAGAAGGAGTCCTTTTCAAGGCTCTTGGTGGCCTGCAATGCTAAGCCATTTTATATGGCGCACATAAACTAGTCATAATTATAACCTAAAGTTCCCTCTTCGGGGATGCTGGTTGAATGTGACAATTTTTTATTTTAAAGCAAAGCAATGGAATGATAATGATGAATAATATAAGGACAACTTGGGGTGAACTCGATGTCATAGCAAAGAAGAGACCTATGAAAGCCTAACCCTATGTCCACACTGTCAGAGTTGGTAACAGGACGAAGCAGCTAGAATTGGGCAAAGTATGGTGTGGACAGCTACAGTAGCCAAATGTTGAATGTTGAATTAACAATCAACATCACAGCACTCAGGACACTCTCATAAGTGCTCAGTCCCCATCTTTAGCAGCAAGCGAAGAGTTTCAAATCCGATAGGATCAATAACAATCTGATTGTATATCCATCTCATCCTTTCCCTGAGTGTTAGGCGTCTGCCAGATCCCCTGGTAACTCCTCGCATCGCCATTCTCCTTAGACTGTTATGATCTATCTGTGGTAGCCATGAAAGGCTCCCTAGGTCATCCTAAAAGGTCCTAGCCAAGGAGGCTAGCAACACACCTAGCAAGCCAGCAATGGATTTATTATAGTTCTGAAAATACAATGAAATATCTCGTACAAAGCATATTCATTCCCATGCTATACTACCAGTGCCAGACATGGCCACTTACAACAAACAAGAAACAAATCTAGTATCCATGGAAATGAGATGTCTGAGAAGGGCTGCAGGAGTGACTAAAATATCAGGAATTAGGTCATAAGAGAAAAAAATCGGCACAGAACCAATTCTAAATTACATACAAAGACAGCAAATCAAATGGTTCTGCCACTCAGAGAGAATGCCTTGTGACTCCATACCACACAAGACACACACTAAAAGATGAGATTGATGAAGAGCATGAGGTAGAGAAAAAACAATATGAAAGGATAACATCAGAGAAACTCTACAACAGCCCTGATGTGTCTATGATTGAGGTAGCCAGAAGAGTAAGAAGCAGAACATTTTATCTCTATTGACACCTGAAGCAGTAAAAGAGGAAGTGAAGAAGAAGAGAGGAAGCTGGTATGATCATGTTGAAGACAGATGCTCTGCTGGGGGATAAACAGCAGAAGAAGAATATATGTTTCACAGTTGTAGGAATGCATCACATATTGATTTTAAAAAAACTTGTTTAACTATCGTCAGGCGTCGAAAGAGTTCACTTACAGGTTAATATCTTAATGATGTTTGAAAATAGAAGGAATACTGGACACCGAAAATATCTTTAACCAGTGATAAAATATGTATGGCCCCTGGGTGCAGACATAAGGAAAACATTAGGGATGTCCACCCCTTTTATAATATTCTGGGTAGGGGGCCTCAAATGGCTCAAGCCTTGTTTAAGTAGGCAATAGTAACAGTATTATTTTCTGAAATAAAAATAAATCTGAAATAATATAAAATTTATCAAAAATACATCAAAAGATAATGTATATAGGTGGTTAGCAAATTTCCAGGAAAAAAGGGGATGGGGGAGGGCTTAGCTAGTTGCTGAAAGATAAAATATACAAAGTGACACACTAAAAAGCAGTGAAAGGTGGGGAATTGGGGAGGGTGGGGGCAAACATAGAAAAAGCAGTCTGAAAGAGCAGAACCAGAGTAAGAAACAATAAGTCTCAGAGATTCCTCGCAGCCAGACTTCCCTGCTCATGTTTTATAATTACAACAGAAAACGGTTGAACAGGGTATTACTGGTATAAATAACACCTCTACTTAGATATGTGTCGGTGTTTGTAGTTTGGTCACTGCGAACATGCTTCATAATGCTGGGGTGCCGAGGTCGATGCCAGCTGCAAACAATTTGTCTTGCTTTGGTTTCAACAGTGGTACTGAGAGCTGACCGTTCAGTCAACAATGGCAAACTACTGAACATAGAATGTGCCTAGAAAAACCAGAACAGCCAAAAAATAGGCTGGGGTTGGTTCTGCAACGTCTTATAAAGGATAAGCATCTATCTTTAACTAAGATATGCGGGATAAATGTGCTAGATTTTGTATGAGGCAGTGATAAAATCTGCATATTTTATTGTAGTTCTTCAGTGTGTGATCACTAATTAGTGACGAAATGAAATACATCAACCACAAATATAAATCTTGACTTAACCATCTACTGAAGCAGTTTACTGTCGTCAACATAAAATATCAACTTTAGGTCCCAGTGTTATAAATGATGTCTGAAACCATATCCATTTACAAGACCAACTACTTAATAATTATATTTGCATTATAAACACGTTAAATCGTGCTTGTATGCAGACTAATGCAGAGTAGCTCATAATATCAAAAAATAGCGTTGCGGGTTTAGCACTATAATATTGTGTAAAACTCACATGCGTTCATTTCCAACTACACATTACTGCTTTATAATTAAAAAATACATCTAGGTCATTCTGAAAAGCCAGGTCTTTGATAAATAACGCGATCTCCAATTCGCAATGCAACAATTTAAATTACACATCTGTATATAAGACTATATTAATAATAATAGCTGCGCGCCAACCATAGCAGGCAATCAATAAATGAACTGAGCACTGGTAAACAAAAATTACGGTCAAAGTCAAAACAACTACACACATACACACAAACAGAACCCACTGGATACATCTTCGTTGTCGTTAAATAACTTGTTATAATCCATTTTGCGGAATGTTACTGGACATAACAGTATTACTAACTCCGGCAAAAGGTCACTTTATCTTCGCTCATCATGAACATGCATGCGAAGAAACAGAAGCACTCATGTTCACAACAAAATGAGTGTTCACATATCGACACAGCGCTAACAAAAACTCCCTGCACATACCTGCCGGCGCGCTCGCCATTGTAAGGAACCGATGTAGGGGTAGTTCCTATAGCAAATAATTCCTCTATCTCATGTTTTCCTCTAAATGTTTCCTCGCAAATAAAGCAAGAAAATGAGAAAACAGAGAACGTATGTCAGACATTTAAGCAGGCGAGCATCCGGGCATCCCAGGCTCTGTCCAAATCTTCGATAAGTTTCACTTTATTAAGCAAGGGCAAGATCAATGAAAATCTATCTAAATCCATCAAAATGTGTATTGTTTCTTGTTAAGAAGGAAACAAAAGCGGCATTCCCGTCTCTGTCCATTTATAAGTGGAAGCGACGAGATAGTCGGTGAACGGGGATCACCATCTCCTTTAGTTAGCAGACGACGTAACGTAAACGGCAACCGTTTTCTTCAATGTCTCCTCCTCCCCCAACTTTTAGAGCGTTTACCGTATCCACTCTAAAAAACTATCAATATTTTAAACACCTGTTGAATTTTAAAATAAAAAATTTGTATGAAATAGAAATAGAAACTAAACCATAAGTCAAAATATTTAAGTAAATTTATTTAGATTGCCCGCCGTCGCTAGGCCGCACTTCGTTCAAACGTATTTGCTGCTGTACTTTTCTTAGAAGCAAAGATGGCGGAGGAAAGCCGAATGAACCTGGCTGCACTGCAGCAAAGAGATCCTTACATAACGGAGATCATCGATAAAGCAATGAAAGTTACCTTGTATAAGTTTTCTCAGCAGATGTCAAAATGGGTAAGCGAGTTTACGTTATTTAGTTCACAAGATTAATTGTATTACATTGATAGATGGTGTTTTGTGTGTGTTATCGTATGAACTGTAAACTAAAACTCAACTGGAGCAAGACACTGAAAGAAGGTATGTTGTTTGGCTTTCTTCTTTGCTAGTTGTGAAAAGGTCTTACGAGAAACAGGTAGGAGTTCATCATTATTTAAGTTAAAGTACACGCTTTACAAGCTGTCCAGGGCAGAACCAAAATTACAGAATAAGGAAGGTCTCGTTTTAACTTGTATTTTTCTTTATTATTTATTATGCACAGTCGGTGCTTTAGTCAAATTTTCAAAATGCCCTCTACAACCAATAAAACCAGCACAGTTAGATAGCTGTGATCAATCTCTTTTCAACGGTACCTCGTTTAGGCTTGTATGTCATTTCTGAGCTGAGAAATTGCCAGGTTTTTGTGGAGATGAGATGTCAAAAACAGCTGTTGAAAACTTGCCTCCCAGAAACAAGAAGTTTTTTCTGTGCAACCAAACTGCGCACTTTTCCGTTTTGGCTTTGTTTACATTGGACAAGATGGCAGACAATGAGACACAGCCACATAATAGCGATTGCCTGAAAAATGTCACTGTAAATCTAAAAAGCCACTGATAAGAAAGAAATTTTATATACAAATGTAAAATTGGACGGAGAATTCAATTATAACTATAACTAGCATTACCAGGACGAGTAATGTTAAAGCCTAAAGCCAACCTTGAATACTTACCGCTATTTTCACAGCCATCATAAAAGCGATTGCCTGAAAAATGTTACTGTAAATCTAACAAGCCACTGATAAGAAAGAAATTTTATATACAAATGTAAAATTGGACGGAGAATTCAATTATAACTAGCATTACCAGGACAAGTAATGTTAAAGCCTAAAGCCAACCTTGAATGCTTACCGCTATTTTTAATCAAACTGATGTAACAGAAAAACAAAGGACGTCCGGCTGTCGTAGACATGCGCTGTTAATCGAGTTTGATCCCGCCGTTTTCAGCTATTTATAGCTGGTGAAAATCACACCAATTGCAAAATTTCATGAGAGATTGGGACCCATCCCGAAACAAGCCGACATTTCCCAAACAAGTTTCGAACGGTTTCCATGGTAACGGAAATTGTCAAAAGACCGCAAATTGCCGAACACCGTAGTCGCTACATTATATTGACTGTAAACAGAACACCCGATAGAAATACCACACTGTCACCTAGCGAATTTCCAGGAAAGGAGGGGGGGGGCTGAGAGAGCAGAACTAGAGTAAGAAACAATAAGTCTCAGAGATTCCTCGCAGCCAGACTTCCCTGCTCATATTTTGTAATTACAACAGAAAACTATCAATTTTTTTACGTTAATTTTGCTACTTATTTTTACAAAGTAAAATTTTTTAACTGAGATATATAAGATTTACGATACAGAACTGTAATGACATTATTATTTTTAGTTAGTTTACATGTATTGAACTCACTGATTGAAATGAGAATACAATTCTATCATTATCTTTAATTTTATGTTAACTCTTTTTTAAGTTCCACACAGTTGTTTGTGTCACTTAAACTTGTTATATTCTTAGAAGCTAGACTTGAAATTAGTCACTGTTTATGTCTGAAGGAGTTACATAGGACAAAATATGAGACAGAAGATGGTAAACTTACACATGAGTTAGTGTGTTAAGAGTGCAGCATGTATCTGTCCTAGAACCTTGCAAGAACAGTATGTTGTCTTTGGGGTGATCAAGGAAAACATTGTGAGTTGCTTGGTACCGGAAGAGTTAACTAACAGATAAAACACATCCCGGTGAAGAAGAAGAGCTGAAACACAGTTTTAAGATTACTACCAAGCTCTGTTTTGTTTCAAGAAATGCTTTGCCTGTGTATAGAGTGTATGTAAACTTTCTAAGTTTTTTCCAAACTCAACGTTATATAGTTTTTAAAAAAACTAATCAATAACTGGATTTAATTGACAAAATTAGAGCCAGTGGTCCTCGGTCCAGCCTCAATTTCTAATGTTTGTGGAGATATTCATTCTTTATTTCTTCTTGTGAGTTAATTGTTTGTTCACATTTAAACTGAAAAGAATAAGCTGGATAAATCTGAGAGCTGATGATACTTGTCGCCCAACCCACTCACGAAATCAGATGTGTTAATCAAACATACTTGAAGAGAGATCACAACAATTAATTATAAAATTCTGTAGCTGTAATATGAAGACAATGTGAATAAATAAAGCAAACAATAATCAAGCCTTTTGTTGATGAAATCATATTCTAGGATGCAGAGTCATATGCCAGTTTATATTTGATTTAGATAAAGACAGGGAAACTCATAGAGATATTAAAATACAAATACAGAAGGTAAGAAAAGTTTTTATAGCAGTAGTAAATCTAGAGAAAAAGTCACAAAAAGTTAAAACTATTACCAAACTTTAATTATTTAGTTTCATTGTCATATTATTACTGTTGCTGAAATGCGGAGAACAACTAAAACGATTCCTAATCAACTACAAACATTCAACAAGCTGTTGTCTATACGAAATAGAGGTAATTGAATAGTATAAATCTTATAAAGAGCTTAAGGAAAGAACTAAACAAACTCCAGTATATCAAGGGGTGAGAAACAGATGCTGATGGTTGGATGCAACACATCTTAAGAATAATATAACTACAATTTTTGCAGTGGCGTCCACAGGGTCACAGAAAAAAAGACATTAAAAAAAAAAATAATATATATATATATATATATATATATATATATATATATATATATATATATATATATATATATATATATATATATATATATATTATATATATATATATATAGAGAGAGAGAGAGAGACGGGAGCTAGAGAGTGAAGTTCAAAAGATGCTGAGGATATGGGGTGAGCAACATGCAATTGCAAAGGATAGGACAACTTGATGTAAGATGGTTGAGGACATATGTTTCCAAGAAGCAGAAAGGACAAAGTTCCAGGCTGAGTGGAAAAGCTTGCAGGAAGAAACAATGTCACTGAATTTTGGAAATGATTTTATACTCTCCTCTTTTACTCGATAGTTCCAGAGACAAGTTTTCTGGTTATATATAAGCAAGTTTTGACAGACTACATTCTCTCAAACCCTTTTTTAATTTGTTTAAACCTTTAGCAATGAGACTGTTAAACCTTTAACAATGACTATTAAACCTTTAACAATGACTGTTAAACCTTTAACAATGACTGTTAAACCTTTAACAATGACTGTTAAACCTTTAACAATGAGACTGTTAAACCTTTAACAATGAGACTGTTAAACCTTTCACAATGAGACTGTTAAACCTTTCACAATGAGACTGTTAAACCTTTCACAATGAGACTGTTAAACCTTTCACAATGAGACTGTTAAACCTTTAACAATGAGACTGTTAAACCTTTCACAATGAGACTGTTAAACCTTTAACAATGAGACTGTTAAACCTTTCACAATGAGACTGTTAAACCTTTCACAATGAGACTGTTAAACCTTTAACAATGAGACTGTTAAACCTTTAACAAGGAGACTGTTAAACCTTTAACAATGACTGTTAAAAAAAAACCAGTTTTATCCACCACACCAAATGACTTTGCAGACAAATAGTCACTCATTGTTGACATCCCTCCAAAAACGATTCCAGAACAAACTGGCAGTTATATTTGGCAAGGAAGATCAGAACAGTGTGCTGCATGGAACAGTCACCTTATTTTCTATATGAGGACCTTTGTTTGCGTGTCAGCAAAAATTAGACGTTGCAGAATGTGGTTTTAAATAAAGGAGCAGGAGCTCACCTAGGTAATACCATTTGTCTGACCAGAGTGTCAACAGGAGAGCTGTGTCACAGTTATTCAAAAATCTTTTTGATTAGAATAACAAGATAAACATTACTACAGGCTATTCAAACAGAAAATAGACATTGTTGAGAGCCGATCATGGTTTGCAGCCTAGATGTTTCTATAAAAAGTGAGTTGTCTGTCCGTTACAGGATGTAAGCAATTCCCAGGCATTTGATTCGACAATTTTACATTATGTAATTTGTCACTTGTTTTTTAAATGGTGTTCAGATTCCACTGTTTAAGCCAACCCGAAGCAGTCATCTCTGCTGCCAGAGACCTGCAGCTGACTTCAAACCCTGGAGTGTTGGAATTATTAAACTATGTTCATAAACTATAAGCCACAAATAATGAAGTAGTTAACAGACACATAATAAGTATTTTATTCACTCCAGTCTTAAAATTGA